TCAGTGCATGTGAAAGGGTGAATATCAATGATTGGTTCTATCAGTGCATGTGAAAGGGTGAATATCAATGATTGGTTCTGTCAGTGCATGTGAATGGGTGAATATCAATGATTGGTTCTATCAGTGCATGTGAAAGGGTGAATATCAATGATTGGTTCTGTCAGTGCATGTGAGAGGATGAATATCAATGATTGGTTCTGTCAGTGCATGTGAGAGGGTGAATATCAATGACTGGTTCTATCAGTGCATGTGAGAGGGTGAATATCAGTGATTGGTTCTATCAGTGCATGTGAGAGGGTGAATATCAATGATTGATTCTATCAGTGCATGTGAGAAGGTGAATATCAATGATTGGTTCTTTCAGTGCATGTGAAAAGGTGAATATCAATGACTGGTTCTATCAGTGCATGTGAGAGAGTGTATGTTAACTGTTGATTCAGAGATTGCAAGAAAGGGAATGTCAATCACTATTTCCTACCACAGCCTGCAAGGTGAATGTCAGCGATGGATTCTCTCAGTGCCTGAAAGAGGGTGAATGTCAGCGATTGATTCTCTCAGTGTCTGTAAGAGGGTGAATGTCAATGATTGATTCTCTCAGTGCCTGTAAGAGGGTGAATGTCAGCGATTGATTCTCTCAGTGCCTGTAAGAGGGTGAATGTCAGCGATTGATTCTCTCAGTGCCTGTAAGAGGGTGAATGTCAGCGATTGATTCTCTCAGTGCCTGTAAGAGGGTGAATGTCAACGATTAATTCTCTCAGTGCCTGTAAGAGGGTGAGTGTCAATTACTGATTCACTTTGAATTTTAATAGGTGTATAAGCCTCGGTAAACAGGGATTCGTGTTGTTATCAAATGTGTATCATACGTCATCAGTGATGGTACTGTTACATTGCAGTCAGCAGTTCACATCATGATGGTGGCAGCCCACATATAAATCAAGTCTGGATCAGCCGAACCATGTGTACAATGATGCACCATCCAATCCCCCTCTTAACAGCTTGGATAACAAGCATATGGACTGGTAACCAACATGGTGACCAGTTAACTACATGTCCCTTTGAGACATGGTGACCAGTAAACTACATCTCGCTTTGAAACACGGTGACCAGTTAACCACATCTCCCTGTGACACATGGTAACCAGTTAACTACATCTCCCTTTGAGACATGGTGACCAGTTAACTACATCTCCCTTTGAGACATGGTAACCAATTAACTACATCTCCCTTTGAGACATGGTAACCAGTTAACTACATCTCCCTGTGACACATGGTGTCCAGTTAACTACATCTCCCTTTGAAACACGGTGACCAGTTAACTACATCTCCCTTTGAAACACGGTGACCAGTTAACTACATCTCCCTTTGAAACATGGTGACCAGTTAACTACATCTCCCTTTGAAACACGGTGATCAGTTAACTACATCTCCCTGTGACACATGGTGTCCAGTTAACTACATCTCCCTTTGAAACACGGTGACCAGTTAACTACATCTCCCTTTGAAACATGGTGACCAGTTAACTACATCTCCCTGTGACACACGGTGACCAGTTAACTACATCTCCCTTTGAAACACGGTGACCAGTTAACTACATCTCCCTGTGACACATGGTGTCCAGTTAACTACATCTCCCTTTGAAACACGGTGACCAGTTAACTACATCTCCCTTTGAAACATGGTGACCAGTTAACTACATCTCCCTTTGAAACATGGGAGCTAGTTAACTAGTCTTCGTTCTGTTTCCATGAACATTAAAATGTCAGGCAAATTGTTGGGCCAACTGACTCCCCAGGGGGTCCGACCTCTAGAAGTGTGTTGACATGGCAACCACCAAAGCTCATCTCAGTCTGCAGCATGCCATACACTGATGCCACAGAAACAGTCTCAGCATTGATGTTCAAGAAAAATAACACAAGTCTTTTTGGCACAAAATAATGTATTACATCATATTTTTTTTGGTTTTTAAAATATTTTGAGTAGTTGAATATTAATATATGGATTATCACACTGGAACTGGAATGCCCTTGTACAATATATAACTCATATACATATATAATGCCATACAAACTCCTAAGGGAACATCTGAAGCAATCACCTCAATAATTGGTGTTAAGCATGGGTGTACATGCAGCCCTACACTGTTCAACTTATATGTAAATGATCAACAGGATTACAATCACTGTCAAGATGTTGATCCTCCAAAGTTAACGGACCAGGTAGTCACTCATCTACCCTTTGCAGACAACCTGGCTTTATTTTCAGAAACTACAAGAGGCTTATGAAACAACCACAATGGGGACTACCTCAGTTTACAGAACACTGGAAACTGAATGTAAATCTATCAAAAACATTATTTCTTATATTTGGAAACCAAGCTGAAGATCAAAACTCCAAATTCCGCTTAAACACAGCTGTTGAAATATGTGAATTATATAACTATTTCACAGGAATGTGTAATTCAACCAATAACCAATGTTCGAAGTAAAGCAAATAAGATTACAGAATGATACTCGTTGATATCTACCTTACTACAACTCTACAGATCTCTGGTGGAACCCACAGCATCTTATGGCTATGAGGTGATGCCCATGAAGATGTTTTACAAAACTGGTCCCAACTCCTTGTCAACTCCACTACAATAAAGATTGCTAAATGCATTCTTGGAGGTCTCCTGAAAGACAACTAACTTGGGACTATATCCATTATCAATAGTGGTATTCAAGTCTATGTACAATTATTACCCTATGTCCTCAAATATGAGCAACGACAGACTTCTCTCTGCAGCATTTAAACTTCAACTTACGGACTACTTCAATCAACAAACATTTGCAGTATTTATTCCCGAACCAGGAATCACAAAACATTCTGTCTAACGACCTTATGGAATCCATACAAAGTAAATTTAGGAATATTTTTCTGTCTGCAAGTGACCAAATTCTATTCATGACTCGGCATAAATTGAGGCACTTGGGCAATGTTGGTTATTAATTTGAATTAATTGGCTGTCAAAATTGTCAAGCACTGTGTAACATCAAGAAAACTAAGACTGGGTCCACACAATTTTCAAACATTTAGAATATGCCATCCAATGACAGATGGTGAAATGGAAGATGAAGAACATTTTCTACTACAACTTCCCCTATATCAATCCTTAAGATCAAACCTACACCAAAAACCTTAATTCAGTAACATCTCTAATAAATCTCAATTCTGCATCTGCTTCTGCCAAAAGTGTTTCAAATGCTATTTTACCAAATGTTTGTTAAGATCATCATTATAATCAATGCAAACACAAGTGACCAGTTTATGATATATGTACCTGCATACATCTCTGGCTTGTTTACATCTTCTAAATGCAAATTGTATACGTTCCTTCTGTATCAATAAATAATGTAGTATTGTTCCAAATATATATGAAAAACAATTTGCCTGACATTTTAATGTTCATGGAAACAGAACGGAGACGTTACTTGCAGCAGAGCAACACTCATGACTCTCCACGGAGCCAGTCGTCCTCAAGTTGGAGAAGCCATCTTGAAACTAACATATCAGTAACATAGTCTTGTTGGTATTTTGTTTAGTGCCACACTAAGTAATATTCCAGCTATATGACGGCGGTCTGTAAATAATCAAGTCTGGACCAGACAATCCAATGACTGACATCATGAGCATTGATCTAAGGAATTTGGATACGATGACATGCATCAAGCCAGACCACCTGATCCCGTCAGTCGCATCTTACGACAAGCATGGGTTGCTCACATAGCCGACCAGTTCTTGTTTTAGCCCCTTAATGCCGAGCACCAGGTAGGACAACAAGAAGTACCATCTTTTAACGTCTTTTGGTATGACACAGTCTGGAATCAAACCCAAGACTTTCAGCCTTCCGGGCAGATGCTCTACCACAGAGGCGGTCTTATACAGCAGGTCAATTTTGACCAGATTGTAGATTTTCAAGGGAAAACAATGTTTGTGATGGAAACTTAGTTCCTCCTTAATACACTGACGAGGCAGTTGTTTGTTCATAGTCATACGATACTCCCCGATGCCATGCTCATCAGTGGGAGAGGAATGTGCGCTGGCCAGGTTACTGACCTGCTGACAGTTTTATTACAACACAAGATCCTTCCAGGTGGGGCCGGACAGTACTGTACTGGAGTAAACAGGCTGATGTGGACCACTGCTGACCTCACAGTAGAATGGACATTGTATATTAACCCAGGTCTTTGGTGTGACAAGCTATCACTTTAACCACTAGGCTTCCCCAATGCTCTGGTGTCTTAGAAGTATTTCCTAATACCATCAGAAATTGTAAGAACAGGTACTTTCTTTTACTGTCCTTTTGTATGACCAGAGACTTTCAGGACTTTCTTCCTATGCTCTTACACTGTGGCAAGGCCGACATGATCTCACTCTGGATTGTTTTGTCATCATACAATGGATTCTACATGTTTCCATGACAACTGAACCCACCTATCTTGAAGAATACAGACAAAAGCAACTAAATCAAAACACAATATGTAACTAAAATATAATTCATGTTACAAAACAAAAGCCATACCTTAAAATGTGTCACATTACACTTATCTAGAAAAGTAATAATATGAGGGGAATAGATAGTCTGTAAGGCTTCAAATCTCAAAAAAATATTTTTCAACCAATCAGATTGCAGAACACCCTTCCAGTTGTTTTACAAAGCCATTTAAAGCAACACTACATCTATGTTGACATGCAGGATACCAAGAATATGTTTCACAAATTGTACACAATTTGACACAAATGAGAGTGTTCAGAGTGATGAGCTATCTCCTTTACCACTAGTTTGACCTCTGCCATCAAAAACAACATCAATGATAAGTGTATAAATTTTATAAATGTTTGATGTGTTGCAATTGTCTATAAAACGTCAGACAAAAGTTAACACAAAGCTAAAAGCTATTGTCAGATAAGTGATTGTCAACTGGTCACAAGGATCATGGTATATCTCTGAACTAAGCCAACTTGAATATTAAATTTTCTTTTCTTGAGGAACTTCTTGTAAATACAAAATTCAACCAACAGCTCCTCACATCTAAACTGCTAAACACTGAACTGTTCACTGCTAGTGATCAATCTCAACCACTGTGTGCAATGATCCACAGAATCTTGCAGTTATCACAAATGGCATAAACATGTTTGTTGTTTTTTTAATACTACATATATATTGTTTTAATACAATATCTATATACATCATCCATGACAATACCTTCATGAAAACATAATAATGTCCATGTCAGCATGTGCCAGTTTGAGCAAATGTATAATTTATGTATTTCCCTTAATTGTAAACATGCAGCGACACAATAGTTTGTTTGGATGTTTGTTGCTTAATGCCGCACTCAGCAATATTCCAGCTATTTTCAAGTATATACATCATAAGTGTCAAAGTCAACCAAGTCAGCGAGCCTGGCCATCCGACTCTGTGGTTTAATGAAGTTCATCTTTAAATTATATCTTTATAAACTAACAATATGATCAATCGTGATTTTAAATTTATAAATAGATAAAATTTCATGCTACATCAAGACTCAGTCATTTTTTTGGCCTCACTAGAAAAAGAAATTAAATTGGGACAAATCTAAATTATTATGATTCTCTCAAATTGTTTTTTCTTTCATAAATGAAGGCCCAGAAAGCATGATAAAAAAAGACCTTTATGGTACTAGGCCGGAGCGGATAACATTTAAATTTAATGGTTGCTATATAAAAATTCTCCCTGATAGATGCCAACATCTCCCTGATGCTAAAGGCTCAATGTCCCTGACACCCTCTGACAATTTAATCATATGTATGTGTTTACAATACATGAAAAAGCAGAAGCAGCCCCCCCCTCTCCCCCCCAATACTTTCCCATCATACCATGGACCTTGACATCGGACACAATCATGACATGATAAACCTTGAGTTAATGACTTTGTGTACATAGTAACTGATTGCAAAAATCTTTGATATTACATGAATTAACCTAAGATTACATAAAATTTAAACCAGGTTTGATAATTTGACCTCTTGTGACCGTGACCTTTTATAGAGTTGATGCTGTTGAGACCCTGCCTTAGAGGATATGTGCACTAAGCTTTGTATTATTCCAATCTCAAGTTATCATGTATAGGAGCTTTTTTGAATGACCTTCAAGTTGACTTTGACATGTGACTAAACTATGACACATGTGATTGGAAACTGTTTAGATTTCTCCTGAATTAATCAGAAACTTCATCTAATTTGAGCCATATTTTTAGGCCTAATTCATACTGAGTGACCTTGAACTTCAAGGTCATTCAATCATATATAAGAATACTTCTCCCGAGTTATATAGGAGGTATATAGGAGGTATATAGGACCTATATCAGGTATGAAGTTTCGGACATCTGTCAGAAGTGTGTGGTTGAGAAAAACAACTGCAGCAGACTGACAATACAGTGATTAACAACAGGAGAATCGAAATACACAATTGAGATACAACGACATGCAATAAACCCCATCACCCGATCCATTTAGTCGCCTCTTACAGAAGCCATATCGACATATGGTCCCTGCCTCTTAGGACTCATGATGCCAAAAGACAAATTCAGACTGATTGACTCAAGAGTATTTGACAGTGTAAACAACTTGCATAAAATGAAACTAATATACTTGTTTGGATATGAAACACTTTATGAAGATTTGAGGTGTGACTCCTACTGTAAGCAGCAGGCATAGAACATATCATTCAGCACAAACACACATGTGACAGTTTGAGTCGGCAATGAACACAAAGTAGATATCAGATGACACTCTTGAAAGTTCTGGATAAATGTGACAGTACATATCATAAATATACTCTCAGAAATGCTCCACTTGGAAATTTGAATGAGGTATGATTTTGTCCAAAGAAATGACTTTGATATTGTATGAACATTTCAGTAAATAAATAACTCCCTCTGAGTCTAGGCCAAGATTAAAACTTGATATCTGATTAGGAATAACAAATATAAGATAGCTATTCCATATATTGCAAAGAGCAATAAAGAACGATGCATGGTTTATTTCACAATATAACATTGTTCTATCATGACGTCATTTCTGGAGATTCGAATATGCGCTTGCAACTTGATGATGTCCTATATTTTTGAGAAGGCAGTGTCTAGTGAGTTGTTCCCCATAGATGTAGCTAGGCAATGTAGATAACGCAATGGCAGTACGATCGCATCCAAAAGTAGAATATGTATGACAATCAGTATTGGGAGAATAGGCACAGATAATCAACGTGAAGATTGTGAGAATATGGGGGAAATACTAAACTTAACCCACCTGTTCCTAAAATGGATTTGTCAGACACTTCCAAGGTCGAATTCTATTCTGGGAGTCATCATCTCTAAAATTAAGGTAACTATTTTTAAAGCTTGCACATTCTATCAACATCCTTAAAGAGGCTGTCCATAATGTTGATATCTCCTTATAAGAAATAAACGACTTGTACAATAAAACACTGCAGAGAGTATGTCACTGGCATCTGTTTCAGGTAAACACCATCCCATAATACCCTGTATATATATAAAGTCTAAGATCCAGCCTATATGTCTGTAAACCTTTGTGTGTTCTTCATATAATGACATATTGAAAAAGCAAGAGATCCAAATATCTGTACCCCAAGAATTAACTGTCACTGTACTTCCATGACAGATATCAGCTAAGACAATATCATGCCTTTTCATCAAATGGCAATATCCTGTCAGGTATTTCACAATGTCTTGCACTAAAATCTGTGACCTCCCAGACTGAAAATAGATCTCTATTTCTCAAAACTATTCGTTTGAAGCATGAGGGCAATTATTTGAACCAGGAGGAAAGGAAAGATTGTTTTTCTGTGGGTACTGGCTCCTTCTTTGCTGGATCATGTTTCTTCACTTCAGACAACCATGTCATGAAGAGAGTGTTCATTTTCTGGCGACTCTCTGGGTTGGTGTTGTTCACAGTGGCCAGAATTCGGTCTGGCCGGATGTACTGGGTGAAGCGTTTCATCTCCAGGTAGCTGCTGTGTTCGCTGTATGGAATACCTGGACAATATAGCACCATGTCAGTATTCACAGTGTTGGTCTTACAATATTGGTTTCAAATTGAGAAAGAAAAAATATACCCAGAAGTCTTCATATGTTAGAAAATATACCCCAACAATACAAATCATGACAAGATTCATGAGAGAGATGACATATCCCCTGGGCCGTTTTTGCTGGTTACAAAACCCAAGTACCAGATGTTAAACCAAAGTACTTAGTACCTTTCTTCAAACTTTTTGAAACGTGAAAAAATAAAATTTCCAAAAATTTCCAAACAGCAATAGACAGCACTTTAACCCCTGATGAATACAACTACCAAGTCATCTACCAAATCTGGAACAGTTTTTGAGTTCTGCTCCAGAAACGACACCTACCTCCATTTTAGCCAAGTCTAACTGGAAATTTTGATAAATTCAAATAGCAAAAGACACCACTTCAACCCCTGGTTAATACAAGTGGTGAGGTGAAATTGGGTTTAACGTCGCGTCCAAGATTATTGCACTTATATAGCAACGTGCATGCACGTGTGTGTGTGTGGCTGCTTGTACTAGTCTGGACTGATGCCGATTTATAGTGCTAGCTCACTGAGTTACCATGCCGCAGTTTAACATGAATACCCCACTCAGACACAGTATACTGACTCCGAGCCGACCAGTCCTTGTTTTAGCCCCTTAATGTCGAGCGCCAGACAGGGTAACAACAAGTACCATCTTTTAACGTCTTTTGGTATGATGCGGCTGGGGATCGAACCCCGGACCTTCCGCTCTCCGGGCGGACGCTCTACCACAAGACCACGGAGGCGGTGGTTAATACATGTACCAAGTTTCGATGAAACATCTTCAGGTTTTTTAAGTCATGCTCTGGAAACGAAATACGGCCGGCCGGACAGACCAGATGATGACCCCACCCCCCCCTGCCCCCATTATATTCCAGGGGGTAAAAAGCAATCAAATAGTCTTTCAATTGCACAAACATAACTGGCAAAACAGTTATAGTCTGTTTCAAAAAAGCATACTGTTGAATATATTATGCATCTTGAAAACACATCATGTATGGCAACATTGTAACTAAAAAAGCTATCAGTAATGTTTGGAAGGACTATCTTTCTGCAACAGTTTGGAAGGCCTCTTTCTACATCAATTTTAAACAATGAAAAGACAATCGGTTTAGATATTTGAGTGATTTTAAGTCAATAAAATGAAAAAGACAACAAAAAAAGAAAAGAAATTTAATAAAGAACTGATGTTCAAAAGCCTGAGTGAGAATCATCCATGGAGAAAGGGTATTTCTTTTTTAATCATTTATTATATAATTAATTATCCATGTCTAAAAACCTCAATTTAAAATCTATACACATGACAACTCACACACCAAAAATCTTTACCAAAAAAGGTAATGGCTTGAGTACATCTTGTTTTCGTCAGTCAACCAACATATTTCTCAATCTGGGCTATTTCGAAAGTGAATGCTAGTCTGTTTATAATGTGCATTTTAGTCAAATAACTTGCAAGACTTAACATCAGATGTTTTTGTTTACATTCTTGTTGTCCCCTTACCATATATGGTAATGCCATTCCTGCTGTACTTGGGCTTTATCTGTTCAAGGGAGACAACTCTGTTGCTGTGAGACCACCCAGTGGGTTCCAAAGCAAGGATGCTGTTGAACTTGGTGTGTTGACTCAGGTAGATGCTGAGCTCCTGGACAGAGAAACCTAGCCTCAGTATACACTCACATCCTGAACACAAAAACCTAGCCTCAGCACACACTCACATCCTGAACACAAAAACCTAGCCACAGCACACACTCACATCCTGAACACAAAAACCTAGCCTCAACACACACTCACATCCTGAACAGAGAAACCTAGCCTCAGTATACACTCACATCCTGAACACAAAAACCTAGCCACAGCACACACTCACATCCTGAACACTCACATCCTGAACACAAAAACCTAGCCTCAGCACACACTCACATCCTGAACACAAAAACCTAGCCTCAGCACACACTCACATCCTGAACACAAAAATCTAGCCACAGCACACACTCACATCCTGAACACAAAAACCTAGCCTCAGCACACACTCACATCCTGAACACAAAAACCTAGCCTCAGTATACACTCACATCTTGAACAGAGACACCTAGCCTCAGCACACACTCACATCTTGAACAGAGACACCTAGCCTCAGCACACACTCACATCTTGAACAGAGACACCTAGCCTCAGCACACACTCACATCTTGAACAGAGACACCTAGCCTCAGTACACACTCAGATCCTGGACAGAGAAACCTAGCAGCTATGGTCACATAGGTCTGCAGATAGACACACAAGTGCCTGTTAATATTTAAGGGTTGATTGTTGGGCAGAAGGTTGTTCTTAAAAGGTTAAATAGGTTCCTCTCCCATGTGTTTACGCAGTTTAGTTTAAAAAAAGTACATTTATCTCTGGCTTTTTGTGAAAAACATCATCACAAGATATATTTGCTAAAACAAGTAAGATGTGTAAGAGTGCCTTTCAGAAACCAGGAACCTTGTTTAATCATGCCAATAAGATTTTAACTGTGCCACTGACACTCTTAATACAAGGAATTTCAAACCCTGTACTCACATTGGGTTTTAGTTTTCCCATGGGCAGGACATGGACCCTGGCTTCAGTGGGGCAAAGTGTGACCATCTTCTGAAGATGCTGGTCCTCAAGGCAGTCGAGGATAACCTTCTTGTCTTTCTTCACACATACTTTGCTCTCAAGGGCATCAGCTATCGCTGAAAACATTATGGACAAGAAATACAAATTCTTGGAATAACCAGCTGATAACACTAATACACATATCTTAGCCACTGAACTCAAACTTAATAGTACTAGTGAAAGTTTATGTCACTATTCCAGAGAATTTGCAGCAAATCCTGCTACAATGTTTCCTATATTCACATTTTCTGTCAGTTTTATTCATTCCAATTTGGGGAAAAATTGAACCATTGAGAACTGGTTCAGAATTATAAACCTCAAATGCTACTAATCCATGAGGACTACCATCATTGGATTATCACTTTTCCTCAGCACAATTCAGTAGTCTCAGGCTAACTGACTAGCGTGAATTTCAGAGGCTTGTACTGTGACACCACAAACCAATACTGTCAGGGAACTCCAAAAGAGTTATCTCCCTTACTCCCCTACCCTATCTGCATGGTTATTCTGCACAGTGATATCACATATTAATGTAAAAAAACACATATCAAGTCTTTCAATGTCCCCTTCTCTAACAGACATAAAGTAACTGACAACCTTCATTGTGAACTGCAGCAAAATGTATTCAACAATAATGTCAATGTTTAATATATTTCCGAATTCAGCATATTATATTGTAGAGTTGTACCACTTCAGTGAAATCTTGGAACATTTGTATGGTGCTGGCTCAGTGAAATCTGGGAACACTTGTATGGTGCTGGCTCAGTGAAATCTGGGAACATTTGTACAGTGCTCTCATTGGAAGAAAGACGTGAAATTCCTAATGATAACAACTTCTTTATTGTTCGTAACATTTCAGAGCTACTTCTTGACCCTTCATAAGGTGAAAACTGAGAGAGCATATAGAGTTAATATTTTCCGGAGAACTGATGAAAGCATACTAATTATACGTAAGTGGATGACTGATGACTGATTACAAGAATCAAACAACTATGAAGAGGGATGTGAAGAGCTTTCCTTACGACGAATGGCTATAACCTTAATACTTGTAATGGAATACTGGTATTCAACTGTAAATATATAGGAAGGGTTGTCTGCTCACAGTCGGAAGGTGAAAGGATTTTACAAGTGATTCATGATGATTGAAGGCATTTCAGTAAAGACCCTGGTCTCAGTGCAAGAGAGATTATACTGGTTTGGTTGGCGACATGATGTTACAGAGAGGCGCCGTTCCTGCAGTCAGTGCCTCCATCGCAGGATCCATCTGTCTCAGACAGACCACCGGAGGGTAAGCCACAGATTCCCTCTCAACCCTTCAAGTTGTGCAACGGGGATTTTGCCGGCCCTCCACCACTGGAGGAGCGTGGACATTGTTACTGGTTTGTGCAGGTAGATCCTTGCAGCAAGTGGGCAGAAGCATTTGCAACAGCAGAAATAACCACTTTCTTCACAATGGTATTCAGACCTCATACATAGTCATACAGGGTTAATTGACAGGTCACAACTCAACTTATCGTGGTTGACTAGTACTCTGAGAGGCTATGCCCTGCACTGACCTGTAAACACTCTCTCCTTGCCGATGGTGTATGTCCCACACACGACCAGCGTGTTTGGACTGGCCTCAACATGCTTCTTGGTTAGAGACACAGCAAACTTGATCACTTCCGACTGAGGTGGGAATGTGTAAGAGGGGTCACAGTACCTGCAGCAACATCAGTAACACTTAAACATTTGAAACATGACAATTAACCTCGAAGATAAAATAACCTTTTGGAAACAGGCATTCAAAAAGCTTCAAGGGCTAAACAATTGTTTGTGTGGAAACATACTACAAAGTTACTCTTAGATCTAAGGACTGTCCCATTCCTATTCGAAACACATTCAAGAACTAAGGCTACACTAAGAAGTGGCAAAAAGATAGGAATTCTCTCAGGTAATTTAGTGACCAAGAATAATCATATCCTTTCTAAGAAATCTGACAAACCATCCATTGATGGTTGCCTCAGGTGATTATCAGCCAATAAGCATCCAGACTTGTAAAGTATCTGTACAAGCATCAAGGACGAAAGCATTCACAATAGGGTATCTGTGTCTTTATCTCGAAAACAAACATATCTGGGCTGTCCTAAATGGAAATATTAAAAGCTGCGAAATAAATGTTGTGGACATTTTAAAGACCTTGTAATAATGTCTGGACAGCATGGCAGCCAATCAGTGAGTAGCAACAGACACATCACCCTGAAACACTGCCTCTCAATATGTCGCAGCTCACGTTGTCGTAGTGGGGGAATAGTTGTGTTCTGTGAGGGCTTTCTTTTCATAATATAGACATTTCCAATCATGGTGGTAAAGAGTTGAATTAGTGACATTTTGACCCACACATCCTTCATATACAATGGGCAGTGGAAGTCTCATCTTCCCGAGGCAAGAGAGTTAACTGACTATAAAAGTCCAGTTTCCTTCCTTGCCAAACTAGGCTGGAGTAACATTTTGGCTGGACTAACGAGGCTATGCATAGTCCAAACAAATTCACACAATGAAATCGAAATCCAGTTTGTAAACTGTCATGCTGTCGATTGCAGGATTTGCAATGCATGTGCACCGCCACTCGTTGTCAACAGATATTTTCCAAATCATTCCATGTTTTTAAGCAAGGTCCTCACGTGATTAGATGTACTTTGTAAGACCTGTGTTATCACAATATAGATCTTGATTATCGAACAGATTGTCTTGGCTGGGCGCAGTTATTTTGTTTAAAGCAAATGCAAACGAGAGGTGGAATCTGATTGGTCCATAGGAGCAGCATAGAAGGGGCATAACTCATATTAACCACTGGTGGCATTAAGATCAAGCTCAGGAGTTCCAGCCTAGTTCGGCAAGGGTGGAAACTGGACTTTTATAGTCAGTTAACCCTCTTGCCTCGGGAAGATGTGGGCTGTGTCCACCTGACACAAGCTGCTGCCACATGCAAGTATTGTATCAGAGTCAAGGATCTGATTCTAGTGAGAGTGGAGCCAGCTATTAACTTCTTGTGAGAATACATTGATGTCTGAGTGAATGAATGTGGTAAATGCTGCTTTTAGCAATGTTCCAGCCATAGTATGGCAGGCAAGACTCCAGGAATAGAATCCATACATTGGTAATGTTTAAAGTGAAAATAGTGACGGCAGGATAATGATCCATTTCCATACAATCTGTGAAAATCACTTCATTATAACTTTTTAATTTGAAGTTTACAAGATATACGGCATTTCAATTGGACGAGAGGTCGGTCACCTGACCGTGAAGTTGACGTGCAAAAGTGTATGAGCAACAAAATTTGACATTCATATGTTTTCCAGAAGCCAGTGTTCTTGAAATGACGTAAACACTGATGGGCTACTTCCACATTCCTGGGGGAACCCCTGGGAATTCCCTGGCACGAATACATACAGAAACGGTCTTTCTTATCATTTAGACCCTTTGATCTTGAACTTAGCGTTTTAGCATACATTGCGAAATGTCAAAGAGTTTTACTACACCGTTAAAGAATATCCTCGCTCATCCCATCCCAGTAAACAAAACGATGAAGAAATACACATCCAAACTATCGTAATATCAACTCGATCCGTGCCTAGGCTGACAGTGACAGTCGACAGCAATCTATGAATTTACCTTAGTGTCTATTTGACACATCTTTAATCACCTTTCTATGATCGGCCAATTGATTAATGACGACTAAAACATGTAACCTGCCACAGTATCATGAACAACTTCTGAAATCTCTCCCATCACTTTTATTGTGTTGGCCATTTTGACATCATGTACTTGTTGAAAATGTATTACGACGCGATGTCATTGTGAGTGACTTACTGAGGTAGTCCTTAACAGACCTTCCTTCCGATCTACTGGTGATATTATTTGAATACATATGTTGCAATAGATATGTCTGAAGAGCATGTTGTGCATCCATATGCTCATGTCACCTCTCTTTCTGAGGAACTATTTTATTCTGCGATATAGCTCGTTGTTGTATGGCTGTCAGTGTAAACATGAAGTCACACATACTAAATAAACTTGCATATAGATCAAGGTCTACATCCTTTGAGGTAAGAAATTGTGATAAAAAATTAAAAGAATTGACTTTCACTTTGTGTGGGTTTTTTGGAGTATGAACCTTCATAGAGTGAGGGCACACAAAGTGAAAGTCAATTCCTAAATACAATATTCCATAGCTTCACAGAGTTCCAAGAAAGTTTCACATTCATGGATGCTTGTTTTTGAGACACACTACCTCCATATTTTAATAGAACAAATATTTCTAACAAAAAATAATGTATTTTCCCTAGACACAAGGAAACTTGACTTAAAGAAGCTCTTATGAGTATGAACAACTCTAAAGTTAAAATCTTCACATTCTATTCTTAAACAAGAATTATTCTAATCTTAAACAAGAATTATTTCTGGCAGTTTAAGAGTTAACTACGGCATTTGAACCCAGACTCACGTGGTGTCGAGGTAGAGCTGTTGGATCTTGGTGCCGACCAGGGGTGGGTACTGCTCCATAGCCGGGTCTGCTCGGAAGTCTCCTGTGTGGAGGAACGTCTGTCCGGACTTGAGACGTAACAAGATGATGACAGCACCCGGACAGCTGAAGTAAACACACACAGTGAGTGGCAAGTCACATGGGGGTCAGTCAGTGTGAGAGTGGGTGGGGAGTCAGTTGGAGGGTGAGTGGCAAGTCACATGGGGGTCAGTCAGTGTGAGAGTGGGTGGGGAGTCAGTTGGAGGGTGAGTGGCAAGTCACATGGGGGTTAGTCAGTGTGAGAGTGGGTGGAGAGTCAGTTGAAGGGTGAGTGGCAAGTCACATGGGGGTCAGTCAGTGTGAGAGTGGGTGGGGAGTCAGTTGGAGGATGAGTGGCAAGTCACATGGGGGTCAGTCAGTGTGAGAGTGGGTGGGGAGTCAGTTGGAGGGTGAGTGGCAAGTCACATGGGGGTCAGTCAGTTTGAGAGTGGGTGGAGAGTCAGTTGAAGGGTGAGTGGCAAGTCACATGGGGGTCAGTCAGTGTGAGAGTGGGTGGGGAGTCAGTTGGAGGGTGAGTGGCAAGTCACATGGGGGTCAGTCAGTTTGAGAGTGGGTGGAGAGTCAGTTGAAGGGTGAGTGGCAAGTCACATGGGGGTCAGTCGGTGTGAGAGTGGGTGGGGAGTCAGTTGGAGGGTGAGTGGCAAGTCACATGCGGGGGAGTCAGTGTGAGAGTGGGTGGGGAGTCAGTTGGAGGATGAGTGGCAAGTCACATGGGGGTCAGTCAGTGTGAGAGTGGGTGGGGAGTCAGTTGGAGGGTGAGTGGCAAGTCACATGCGGGTCAGTCAGTTTGAGAGTGGGTGGAGAGTCAGTTGAAGGGTGAGTGGCAAGTCACATGGGGGTCAGTCAGTGTGAGAGTGGGTGGGGAGTCAGTTGGAGGGTGAGTGGCAAGTCACATGGGGGTCAGTCAGTGTGAGAGTGGGTGGGGAGTCAGTTGGAGGGTGAATGGCAAGTCACATGGGGGTCAGTCAGTGTGAGAGTGGGTGGGGAGTCAGTTGGAGGGTGAGTGGCAAGTCACATGGGGGTCAGTCAGTGTGAGAGTGGGTGGGGAGTCAGTTGGAGGGTGAGTGGCAAGTCACATGCGGGGGAGTCAGTGTGAGAGTGGGTGGGGAGTCAGTTGGAGGGTGAGTGGCAAGTCACATGGGGGTCAGTCAGTGTGAGAGTGGGTGGGGAGTCAGTTGGAGGGTGAGTGGCAAGTCACATGGGGGTCAGTCAGTGTGAGAGTGGGTGGGGAGTCAGTTGGAGGGTGAGTGGCAAGTCACATGGGGGTCAGTCAGTGTGAGAGTGGGTGGGGAGTCAGTTGGAGGGTGAGTGGCAAGTCACATGGGGGTCAGTCAGTGTGAGAGTGGGTGGGGAGTCAGTTGGAGGGTGAGTGGCAAGTCACATGGGGGTCAGTCAGTGTGAGAGTGGGTGGGGAGTCAGTTGGAGGGTGAGTGGCAAGTCACATGCGGGGGAGTCAGTGTGAGAGTGGGTGGGGAGTCAGTTGGAGGGTGAGTGGCAAGTCACATGGGGGTCAGTCAGTGTGAGAGTGGGTGGGGAGTCAGTTGGAGGGTGAGTGGCAAGTCGCATGCGGGGTAGTCAGTGTGAGAGTGGTTGGGGAGTCAGTTGGAGGATGAGTGGCAAGTCACATGCGGGGGAGTCAGTGTGAGAGTGGGTGGGGAGTCAGTTGGAGGGTGAGTGGCAAGTCACATGGGGGTCAGTCAGTGTGAGAGTGGTTGGGGAGTCAGTTGGAGGATGAGTGGCAAGTCACATGCGGGGGAGTCAGTGTGAGAGTGGGTGGGGAGTCAGTTGGAGGATGAGTGGCAAGTCACATGCGGGGGAGTCAGTGTGAGAGTGGGTGGGGAGTCAGTTGGAGGGTGAGTGGCAAGTCACATGCGGGGGAGTCAGTGTGAGAGTGGGTGGGGAGTCAGTTGGAGGGTAAGTGGGAAGTCACATGCGGGGGAGTCAGTGTGAGAGTGGGTGGGGAGTCAGTTGGAGGGTGAGTGGCAAGTCACATGCGGGGGAGTCAGTGTGAGAGTGGGTGGGGAGTCAGTTGGAGGGTGAGTGGCAAGTCACATGGGGGTCAGTCAGTGTGAGAGTGGGTGGGGAGTCAGTTGGAGGATGAGTGGCAAGTCACATGCGGGGGAGTCAGTGTGAGAGTGGGTGGGGAGTCAGTTGGAGGGTGAGTGGCAAGTCACATGGGGGTCAGTCAGTGTGAGAGTGGGTGGGGAGTCAGTTGGAGGGTAAGTGGGAAGTCACATGCGGGGGAGTCAGTGTGAGAGTGGGTGGGGAGTCAGTTGGAGGGTGAGTGGCAAGTCACATGCGGGGGAGTCAGTGTGAGAGTGGGTGGGGAGTCAGTTGGAGGGTGAGTGGCAAGTCACATGGGGGTCAGTCAGTGTGAGAGTGGGTGGGGAGTCAGTTGGAGGATGAGTGGCAAGTCACATGGGGGTCAGTCAGTGTGAGAGTGGGTGGGGAGTCAGTTGGAGGATGAGTGGCAAGTCACATGGGGGTCAGTCAGTTTGAGAGTGGGTGGGGAGTCAGTTGGAGGGTGAGTGGCAAGTCACATGCGGGGGAGTCGGTGTGAGAGTGGGTGGGGAGTCAGTTGGAGGGTGAGTGGCAAGTCACATGCGGGGGAGTCAGTGTGAGAGTGGGTGGGTAGTCAGTTGGAGGGTAAGTGGGAAGTCACATGCGGGGGAGTCGGTTTTAAAGTGGATGGGGAGTCAGTTTGTGATTGGTGAGTGAGTGAGTAAGTGGTGACTCAGTTTGTGGTTGGTGTGTGAGTTAGTGAAAAGTGAGTGGTGAGTGTGAGTGGATGGTACATCAGTTTGTGCATGAGTGAGGGAGTGAGTGAGTGAGAGAGTGGATGGTGAGTCAGTTGTGATCAGTGAATGACTGAGTGAAAAGTGAGTGAGTTGCTGTGTTTGTTGTGTGACACAGAACAGACACACAGAAAGTTTTATTTCTGTCTCACTTGATTTACATGGACATATACCACAGTGTATGCATACTCATTATGTAACATATAAAACAACCAATCGCTAAGCGATTTATGAAAGACATTATTTGTAAAAACCCAAATGTGCTAAAAAGTAAATATATGCAGATATAAAAGTCTCTGCATTTAGTTACAATGACATGTCTCTTTTGCTACTCACTGATTGGCTTTCGTCAGAGTTAGCTCCACCCATTCAATGTCACATGGCTGGTTCAGGGGAAGTGTGTGTTGTGTGATGTGTCTGTTGCTACTCACTAATTGGCTTCCATCAGAGTTGGCTCCACCCCTTTCACGTCACATGGCTGGTTCAGGGGAAGTGTGTGTTGTGTGATATGTCTGTGTTTCTACTCACTGATTGGCTTCCATCAGAGTTAGCTCCACCCCTTTCACGTCACATAGCTGGTTCAGGGGAAGTGTATGTTGTGTCTGTTGCTACTCACTGATTGGCTTCCGTCAGAGTTAGTTCCACCCCTTCCACATCACATGGCTGGTTCAGGGGAAGTGTGTGTTGTGTGATATGTCTGTGTTGCTACTCACTGATTGGCCTCCATCAGAGTTAGCTCCACCCCTTCCACGTCACATGGCTGGTTCAGGGGAAGTGTGTGTTGTGTGATATGTCTGTGTTGCTACTCACTGATTGGCTTCCATCAGAGTTAGCTCCACCCCTTCCACGTCACATGGCTGGTTCAGGGGAAGTGTGTGTTGTGTGATGTGTCTGTGTTGCTACTCACTGATTGGCTTCCATCAGAGTTAGCTCCACCCCTTCCACGTCACATGGCTGGTTCAGGGGAAGTGTGTGAATGTACTGTGGATCCACCTTGATCTTTGTCCTGACCAAGTTGCCGGTCACCTATGACAACAAGAGGCGACTGCCAGGGGTGCAATTTTAATGTAATGGAGCAGCCCCCGAGAATTATCTTTGCACATAGAAACATCCAGGGCAGAACAATACTTGAAAACTTAACATGAATTTTAACTTTCAATACATGATGACTGCTTCAATGATATGTATCTAATCAACACTAGCTTCATTTGTATATAGTTGCTATATGGCTGAAATAATGCTGATGCAACGTAAAATGGAAGACTTGTCCCTAAAACTGATACATGCCTTTATTGTGTGAATGTCTTTATATATGTGCTACTGTTTTCAAATGAGGTGAGGTGAGGTGAAATTGGGTTTAACGTCGCGTCCAAGATTATTGCACTTATATAGCGACGTGCATGTACGTGTTATGTTTGTGTGGCTGCTTGTACTAGTCCGGACTGATGCCGATTTATAGTGCTAGCTCACTAAGATACCATGCCGCAGTTTAACATGAATACCCCACTCAGACACAGTATACTGACTCCGAGCCGACCAGTCCTTGTTTTAGCCCCTTAATGCCGAGGGCCAGACAGGGTAACAAGTACCATCTTTTAACGTCTTTGGTATGACGCGGCCGGGGATCGAACCCCGGACCTTCAGCTCTCCGGGCGGACGCTCCAACACTAGACCATGGAGGCGGTCTGTTTTCAAGTGACTCTCACCATATACATACATGTTAAGTTCCCCCAACCTGACATTTACCTGTTGAAGGGCAAGGAGTAGCCCTGAAACATTGTCTAGGTATAATAAAGAAGTTGTTTTCCATAACATATTCCTTGTCAGGTGATAAAGAGATGATATTCTTCCCTGACATGTCAGAGATACAAGTGCATGTTCCCCCCATTTGAAGCCCTGACAGACCTTGCTACAATACAGATGCTGCTTGAAGTGCTTGGTGAGGCCACCGTAGTGGTCGTAATGGAAGTGGGTGAGCACGTACGCCCTGCAGCCCGGGATCACACCATACCTGAAGGCATCCACGGTCAGAGTCGTGCCTGAAACACAAGTCTTTTTCATTACTGAAAATTACACAACTTTCATCCTCCTTCCAACATTGTCCAACATTCAGAAGAATTAACTTTGTGACCAACAAGCTATGACATGTATCAGAAATTAGGCTTTATCAATCCCCGGTTCAGGCGTCAGAATTACTAAAGCATATGTGCAAATACATTCAATATTTAAACCATAACCAAGATTATTTTTTCTAGGTTTGTCAGCACCATAACTGTGCTTAAGGGTTTCACCAAAGTGGCCAACGTCTAAGACCTGCGTCACTTCAGGCTTTCCTCCCACATAAAGCTGACACCTCGTGATATAACTGGAATACTGTTCAAAGTGGTGCTAAAACAAACTCGCTCACAAAAAGAGACATGCTAACTTGTCTACTATTGTTCATGGATACGGAGACAATGTGTGTTTCTTTTTCCTTCATGGGGTTTGTTACCTGGTATTCTTTTGTAAAAGGGGCAATTTCTCCCTGCACCTTTGTTATAGACAGTCTTCTCATCACCAGAAATACCAGCACCCACAGTCTTGGATCTTTTCAAATCAAACCCAGCCAGTGGACTTGGGTCACCAAGCAATGGGGTGGATGCAATTCTGGCCAAACCATTCCTTAATTCTTTGATATCACAGGTCTGATCAGCTTGGTTGGTTTTTGCTGCTTCAGCCTTGTAAGCTTTAATGCTTGGTCGACTGAAAAAACTAAATATTGATGTCTGTTTTCTTGCCAGAGAAGATACAGGTTCCTTCCCCAAACTCAAACTTGGATCTGTGGTCAGTTTATCGTCACTTGTGACATTGTTAATGCTTAACTTTTCATCATCATTCATCTTATCATTTTTATCACAAATTTCCATGTCATCTCCAACCCTAGCATCACAGTCATCATAGTTAACCATGTTGCCAATTTCATTTCCGGTGTTGTCAGTTTCATACTGATCCTTGTCAATTTCAACATGTTCATTCTGATCACAATGAATTTCAGCATTATCCTCATCAACATCGCCTCTATCTTCCTCATCTTCTGATCCCGCCAACAACTCTGTCAACTCTTTCTCCAACTCGTCATCGCTGTCATGTGCCACAAAGAACCCACCAACTTCATCATTGTCAGTCTTGGCACTCACTGCAGCACTTTTCCCAGGAATGGTTTCCATTATGTTTTTCTTGGCTGTTTTCCCCATCCTAGTCAGTCCAACCCCTTTGTGGACAGGCTCTTCCATCTCCTCACTCTCAAGGCTGTCAATGGTACTGTTGGCTTGTGAGGTAGATTTTGATGTTGCCTTGGATGAAGATGAGGTAGAGGCAGCACTTTTCTGAGAGGAGGTAGATTTTGGCATGTCATTTGTATTGGATATGTGGAGTTTAACATCTTCATCGACAGTCAGGTCTAGGGAGAGATTGACAGGAGTAAATTCAATGGGTGGGGGGTGGGGGTGAAATAAACAAATGTTACATGTTGCATAAAATGTTGGAGGGGTCAGCAAAATATGATAGTCCTAAGACCAATTTCAAACCCACCCACCCCCTATAAATGATAAATGGCCAACCCCTGACCATGATTCATGATAAAAGGTTTCATCAAATTAGGTATTTATAGTGGTGATGCAGTCATAACACACGAAAGGGCACGAAACAGTGTGAAAAAATATTTGCCTGCCCTTGTAGACTATTTCCGTGTCCATCATTTTAGCTCAACTTATCAGTGGCTGACTCACTAGCAAACGTGCATCTACACATCTATTAACTTCTCTGGAAGAATTTGAAAGTTGAATATTATACCTGCTGACTTCCTGTTTTGACTTGTGTCCCGTGATCCTGCAAGCTGTGTATGTGTGTACTTTCTGTAGTGCGACGGTAGGCGGCTCAAGCAGCAAACACCATCTTCACACTCTGTAACCATGGCAACACAACATTTAAAACCCTCACATAAATGTCCAAAAGATGTCCACATTGAAGGTATTTTATCAGGTACCATTTTCACTTCTGTATTAAGAAACTCCAAACTCTTTAAGATCCTTTAACCATCAAAGTCATTTACTACTTTATTTAATACCCACAGCATACAGTGATACATTGAAAGAACCATTTTATCTTTTAATTAACAGTCAGAAAATATAATTGATATTGACAGTGTAACAGTTAAGTGAAATAAACAAGTACCAATAGTAACAAACTGATACCTTAATATTTGGTTATTGTAATATTTTATATAAGGTAGCAAACAAAATATTTTTAGGGGCAATTGGTATTGCTGTTTCTTGAATATGTCTTTTCTGGTACTAAATTATATTTTAGTTAACTAGCTGTAAACATTTGTACATATAATTATTGTAAATGATAATTTTATGTTTTACTTTTATTCATTGAAAAATACTACCTTCAGTGTCAGGCAAAAATGGTAAGTCCATGCATTCCATTGTGTGAGCATTGGGAGACAGTCGCAGCAGAGCAGAAAATGGAACTTGACAAAATGGACAGTATCCCCCAGAGCTTTGATTTGTCTTCTCATCTGTCTTTGCCTTATCTCTTCTCCCTGTCTTTTTCTTTCCAATTTTGTTTACATCTTTTGTTTTAGCTATAACCTTGGTTTTAATAGCTGAGCGTTTTGTTTTCACATTTGTAGTTTTCTGTGTTTGTGGAGATTTTAATGCTTGCAAAGTCTGGCTTGAATCACTCTCATCTACACCAAGCTGTGTCTGCATCGCCAAAGAAGATTTACTCATGAGGTCATCATTTGGTCCTCTCGATGTCAAAAATGCCCTCTTCCGACTCTCCCTCAGCTCAGGGTCGTGGCCGTGTGAACTGACAATCAAACAGTCTGAATCGCTGTCACTATTGTCTATTTGGGATTTTAGCCGTTGTGAAGCAACTTTGGATACAGTTCGTTTGGGTCTATTGTTTGTTCTCGAATCTGCTGAAATAGCATTATTTTTCTTGCTCGGTACCTTCTTGGAACGCTTCAATGATTTAAAATCCCATAAATCATCTTCTTCATTTAATTCTTTAGCGTTTTTACTTCGTTTCATGATGATTGATGAGTTATGACTTTAACATATATACCGTGACAACCCTGAACTCATGTCCATATCATCATCAACTGCCTGTCTGCACCGTCTACACTTCAGTACGTGTGTATCCATAAGCGTATTCGTACCCGTGTGATTTCCAACTTGATCATAAGATTAACTGAAACATCGATGAAGACAGATCGACGTTAAAAATCAAACTATTAACGTCGAAAGTCTGTTCAAATGCATTTTAGTTATTAAAGCTACGTAACTTGCCGAAACATAACATTTGTTAAAGTTACCTACATGTTATGCAATTTCAAACTTTGTCCGCCATTCTTTTCTTTCGCTAACATTCACGCAACATAAACTTCCTGTCTTGGACTCTTAGCACTATCTAACCATGGGTACTATGAGTAAATAAAGCGGTTGGATTGGATTTTTGTCGATGCAAGGAGCTTTCGCCGTTTTGTATATCTACAAATTGAGAAGTAGTGTTGAAACGAAATATGATTGTTATGCGATAACATTAAAATGTAAGTTTATCTCTTTTTTCTGTTTACTGGATGAAAGATTATTCTCAATCAATCTTTACTTACAGTATTGAAAAGACCATAGGCCCATAGTACATATAAACATACAGTAACATTTGGTGCAATATGAATAAAACTATCGTAAACAATATCACATCTATAATGCAGAGGATCTGATGTTCATTGCATGGTATATTACTGATGCATTGCAAGATATTTTGTGACTGTTTGATTTTTAGATGATATAAGGATATAAAATTTGATATTCGAGGATTCAAATAAAAATATTTCTTTAAGTATTCTTTTCTATTTGCATACCACGGACCAAGATGCACAAAATAGTATTCATCCTCTATCTCATGCCAAGTACAATATTTACACAATCTGTTTTCCCTTGATATCCCTAAATGTGTACCCTTTTCTCTAAGAAGATCATGAGAATTACATTTGAAACGGGATAGTGCTGTTCAGAATTTCTTAGCATTTATGTCCAAAAGATATTTTTCAGTAAGAATAAGTATTTAAAACAGGAGTAATAATGAAACGTATGGTGTAAACACAGTGAAGTGTTCACTTTTGAAAATACATACATGTATCTTTTAGCCTTTGCCTTAAATTATATAAAAATCATCTGGTGCTGTTACAGCGTATCAACATTGCGCGGATCGATGCTCATGATGCCAATCATTGGATTGTCTGGTCCAGGCTCAATCATTTACAGACCTCCGTCATATAGCTGGAATAGTGTTGAATGCGGCGTTAAACAAACAAACAAAACATGTTGTTCTCTCCAAATGTAATCATAACCGCAAGATTGGAGTATCTTTTTGACACCCGAGGCCCAGTTATTTTTACCTCTTCTATCGAAAAGAATCATCATATTATAGCATTTCTTTAAGAATCTGGCGCTTGGTATATTAAGCAATTTTATCTACTATTTTATTACTTTCATGTAACTAAATATATGCATCGGGTATCTCCCACATTTCACATAAACTGTAACATTTGGAGTGTTAGAATTTAGCCTAAAAATCATTTTCACGCATATAAATGTACCTTCTCTATTGTGTCTTAGTTTTCTAGACCCCATACTTCAGCACCATAGACAACAATAGGCTAATCTTAGCGTCGAAAATCTTGAAAAAAAGTGTCAGAGCTAATGTTTCCAAGGGGTTTTAAGTTTTGTTAAATGCCAATAAATATATTTTTGGCTTGCAGTGCAGCTTTGTTGCAATGCAGTGACCAACTTAGTCGATTTGTAAAATGTACACCTAACTATTTGTAACTTCTTACAACCTCAATTTTTTTTTCCACTTTCATAGAACCATTTTTCTCGTTTTGATAATTGCCCTCCATTTTTGAAAACTGTAACGGTTGTCTTATCAATATTGACATTCAATTTCCATTTATTGCATGTTGTTTGATGCACTCGTTACAATTTTCATATATTTGAAAGTTCATCTATCCAAAAGACAAAAGGACTTAGAATACATCCTTGTCTTGCCCCAATAGTACAGTAGAAGGTATAAGTGTTATTTTTCGAACACAAACCTTCACATTGTGATATTTGTAACATAATAATTAACCAGTTTTAGTACTCATACTTTGATATTTACAAAGGGACCACAGCATGTTTCTGTTAACAGAGTCAAACGCTTTAGCAAAATCTACAAATACAGTACACATTTCTTCTCCTTTTCGTGCTACATATATCTGTAGAAGTGTCTGCAATATAAATACATTACCAATTGTAGAGTATCCATGCCTGAAACCGGTTTATGCTTCATCTATCTTATCAAAGGAATCGGTTCAAAATACTTAACGTTTGTGTATAATACTTGTAAAACTCTAATTGAAAACACTCAACAGAGTTATACCCCTTTAGTTGTTGGAGTCATTAATTGATCCCAGTTTGTGCAATTGAATTACAATCCCTAAAGTCGACTGTTCTGGAAATTAAGACATTTCAAGCATAACGTTAAAAAAGATTTCAAGGAAGAGGAGAATTTCGGATGGATATTAAAAAAATCAGCAATCACGTCATCTTCACCAGCTGCTTTATTACTTTTTAAGTTTGCAATGCTTTCTGAAATGTTATTTCTTGTTATAGGTGAAAAAAGAATATCTGAATTTAACTGGCAAACATATTTATCAAATGCATTCGATTCGTCATTATCAAATTATCTTTTCTCGTTCTCTGTACAAGTTGAAAATAGTTCATTGCAATGGTTAAATCAATCATCGATTGGAATATTGTTTTGTGAATAACAATTAGTATTAACCCTTGAAGAGTGGTCACAAACTGTTTAGAATCGCCTATACAATGTTCAAGTTTTTCCTGCTTCCCTTCGAAAAAAAATCGGTTTCTTTTCCCTGCATACACTGATATATTTAATAATATTATATTCATATTAAGAGGTATCAACCTTTTTTGTATGAAGTTTAAACCACTGTTGACTAGACTTGTTACAAGTACACCCCCTTGTCATGTCACGTGCTGTCGTGCACAAGGCGTCTGACATGCAACTCACACTATCGTCTATATTGTGTAGCACTTCAACATTTTTTTTCTAATAAAGAATAGCATTCGCTGCTCAACAGGTTGGACAAAAACTCGTCAGCTTTATCGTTGACCCAAACAAATTTGGAAGCCTTCTTATTACTATGAGCTTGCACGGGTTCAGTCTGTATAGAAGTACGTGAGCTAGTCATGGCAGGAATAATTTAACAGTCGTCGCAGTGAGAAAGGACATCTAGTAGCTCCTCTTGCAACAATAACACACCGTTACTACAGTCAGGTGATGACGTACAGTACCAGCGTGACGTCTCTGGGTGAATATACGAGCCTGACTTGGCCATGTCATCGTATCTCAATTGCGTGGATAGATGCTCATGATGTCAATCACTGGATTGTCTGGTCCAGGCCCGATTATTTACAGACCGCTGTCATATAGCTGGAATATTGCGGCGTTAAACAACAAACAAAACAAACAAACATGCTACTACAGAGCTGAGTGAGTGAGTTGGGTTTAACTCCGCTTTTAATAGTAGCATGTACTTTTTCCGTTCTCATCCCTGAAATTGAGAGAGTTGTTTCTTGTGAATGTTTATTGCATTGACCCCGAGACACGAGCCACCGAGTCAAGTTCAAGTAGGTGATGAAAGCAACTTTACCTACCGTACGCTTGCACAATACATTATCAACTTACACATATTTTAAAGGCCGCACGATTTATTATATATATATATATATATATATATATATATATATATATATATATATATAATTTTCGTTTAACGGACTCGCCGTCCCTACTGAAAAAACAACAACCGGGAAATAAATAAATTCCACGGTAGAATGATTTTTAAATAAATAAATAAATGATTGACTATTCATTTTAATTTTAATTTCGACCGACTATGTGTGGAAAAGCTGGAATAAATCCTTGAAACATAAAATTTAAAAGGCGTGTCCTAAGATATAATATGTTTGATCGTCTAATTTGCACTGCATAGCTCCTAAAACTGTAAACTATATTTTAGTGGAGATAAACTGCAGTCAGTATCAGATGCTACATCGCTCCAGGGGTGCAGCTTTATCGCAGAGATAATGTGAGGTTCCTAATGCGATTGCTATCGAGCCGTCACACGTTGTGTAGAGCCTTCTTTTCGGTGATATGTAGAGAATATCCGCGCTGTCTCTCAGATGACGTCTATGGCAGGCGGTGCGTGTATATGTTCATGACTGGTGTATCTTGCGAGGTAAGGCGACATTTTCTTCAACATTTATTTAGTTACTGACCGACTGGCAGACACAAACTATTAACAAACAAACAAACATATGGAACTCGTGTAAGACAGTAAATTAATTTCCTATTAGTGTAAAGAAAACTTTAATCAAATTTCATATACCACCTGACAAAAGTGTAACTGACAAGTGTGGATGAGTGCTCATAGAAGTAGAGGTGAGGTGGGGTGAAATGGGGTTTAACGTCCCTTCCAAGGTTATTGCACTTATATAGCGACGTGCATGCACGTGTGTGTGTCTGCTTGTGCTAGTCTGGACTGATGCCAATTTATAGTGCTAGCACACTGATAAACCATGCCGCAGTTTAACATGAATACCCCACTCAGACACAGTATACTGACTCCGAGCCTGACTTGTTTAAGCCCCTTAATGTCGGGCGCCAGACAGGGTAACAACAAGTACCATCTTTTAACGTCTTTTGGTATGACGCAGCCGGGAATCGAACCCCGAACCTTCCAATCTCCACGCAGGAAGACGCTCTTCCACTCGACCACGGATGCGGTCCATAGAAATAAGTTACTAATAGCTAATAACTTTATGATGATAAAGATATGGCCTCGAAGATCAGCCAAATTTAAATTAATGCATAATACCGACTGTTCAGAAAGTCCTTGGGGTCGAATGTATGTGTACCTAAAGTTCAAGTTGCTCCACAAACGTTACATTGGAAACCGCTGCACATAGGTAAACGAACTATTAAAAAACACAACATGGAATATATAAATAAATTTACCGTTGTCGTTCAGTTAAGTAGGGTTTGACAGAATACTCTTGTGCCTTACCTCCGTGTTTGTTCTATGTGATGAACAGTCAGGCAATGGGATATCAGCCGTACACTGACATGTATCGTCAACAGAGTGAGTTGGGCTTGTCGCCGCTTTGAACAATATTTCAGTTAATCTTTGGCGTGTCAGCTTAGTGAGGAAGCAAAGCCCGAAGTGATGCAGGTCTTAGACTTTTACAAGTTTAGGGAAATCCACGAGCAAACATATAGAAACATAATCAGAGCAATCCCAAACATAATCGGGACCCACCAACATACTATAATCCTCG